AAAAACAGAAAGCGTGCTGGTGTCTGAAAGCCTAGGGAAATCCCTGCAGTCATGTTTGTTTCCAAATTGTTGTGATTTTTCTCACAGGACTTAGAGAAGCCATTTATAATAAAAAAAATACATCAACACACTGTTTAAGGCTCCTGTTATGGATGTTTATGTGCTCAAGCATCTGTTCATCTAAACAGCTTCACCTTTGTGTATTTTGGTTTGACATTTCGGCCCTGTGTTCCCTTTCAGAGCTGCAAATGTAGAACACATTTGTGTTTCCACAGAACTTTGTTTTATTAAAAGGAGTAATATGTGTGTTCTTCTTCTTTCTTGGTGATTCTAACTCATTTTGTTGTTATTTCCTGGTGCAGCTTGGGATTGAATTGAAGCACCTGGATGAAATATATCTCCCTGCTAATGCAAATACAGTGAAATCTGCAATTCAGTCCCTGAATCTCCTCTGTGTCTTTGCCCGTTCCCCTTCATTGATATGTTTGTAGTTTAGCCATGTGTCTCTGTAACACACACACACACACACACACGCCCGTCCTGTCCTTGGGTTTTAGAGAATACAGTCCTTATCAAGCTCTTGTACAGTTGAGCACATAATGCTTAGATAAGGCCCAGCTTTCACTCCTACCTGTGGAGCCGACTGTTCTTAAGGTGCTTGAGCAAATAATCTCTGAAGCTATTAATACCACGAACAAAAGATAAGAAGCCAAAATCCAGAACTGAAAGTTCTTTGAGTATTTTTGTGGTGTGGTGCTTTTGAAGCAGCGTGAAGAACTACATGGGTAATAGATTACAAAGACATTTACTGATGCACAGTTGTGATATTTGAGTTTTTTTTTAGTGTCTGTGAAATAGCAAGGATTGGCTGTTTTACTCTAGTGATCAATCACAACACCACACACTAGTGGCCAGAGGTGTGGGGTCACCTTCACGCTAGGGAGCAAACTGCCAAAGATGAAAGGAAAAACTCACTAAAACATATGTTAATGCCATAAACCAGGCCTTTTTCAGAGATGAAGTAAATGGTTAACTTCCATCTTTTTACAGCAGTGGAACTAAATGAAGCCTTGAAAACTGATGCAAACAGTTCCTACAGTGTCCAGTCTTTCCAGCAAAGCAGCCTTCAGGTGCAGCACATCTGTGGGAACCTCTACAACAGGTTGCGTTGTAGAAAGGACACATGCATGTTCACACTGATGGCAAGTGGAGGTGACCACAAACTTTTGACCAGTAGTGCAAGTAGCAAGTAAAGTTACATTACTCTCCACTGTTCTCTCTCACTTGCAGCCTTGCATGATTGTGGTTTAAATGGCTAAAACATCTGGCTCTTAAATTTGCCTAGGAGGTCAGCTACATATTTACATTTCAGTATTGTAGTAAGCCTTAATATTAATGATAAAAATGGTTGTTTACAGTTTGAGTTGGTCCTCTGGGGATCATGAATGTCTGGATCAAATTTTATGTCAAGCCCTCCAGTAGCTTGAGAGGCTTTTCATTCTGACCGGCTGACAAGCACAAACCTTTCTACCCCCCAGAGTCAGTCCACTAAAAAAAGCCTGTCAGCATTGTGTCATGATGACGAGGCTGAAAATGGTAAAAATATAACCTCTCTTTCACCACTTGTCCCACTTCCTGTGATTGGGCATTCAAAACAAAAACCTCAGAGGAAATTAGTCCCATGATACTAGAGAGAAAGTTGGAGCATTTCTGCATCTTGCTGGAAAGATCTGATGGTCACACGGTAAATGTAGTGTGTATCTGTGCTCGCTAAACATGCCGCCGTAGGCAGCATTTTAGAAAGATTAGTTACTCACGCTTTGTTGTTCAAAGCAGATAAGAGGGGATAAACACATGAGGAATTCATGCTTATTCCTTGACTCATTGTTGCCCAAGCCAGAGTTTCTGTGTCAGGCTGCTGAGGGGGCACCAGGAGTAGCAGTTGTTATTGGACTCAGTGTGTGTTTTTGGCTGCAGCAGGTTCACAAAAATTAATTCGAATGAATACTTTTCTAAACCAGAGATTTCAGTTTTTGATTTATCATACATGTTACTGAGTGTAGATTGATTGAGAATGGCAGTTTTATCCACCTAAATTTAAGCCTACAACACAAAATGTGTAAATAGTGAAGGGGAGTGAAGGCGCCCCCTCTCCCTGCTCCACGATGCGCTGCTACGATCTGCCCAGCTTTTCACACATTTGTCAATGAAAGTACAAGAAATGAGAATGCAACAAAACTCGCTGATCAAGCAGAAACAACCAGCTCAAAACCTTCAGAAGCTGATATGTCTGCACTGCTGCTGGCGCTGTTCAAGGAGTCTGGGTCACAGGAGGCTTCGACAGCACCTCTCCACATTAGGACAAGTTGTGGAGCAGATTTCTACAGCAATTTATTTTAAAAATGTAGCTTTAAAATGAAACTTTCCTGAAATCCACAGACTTGAACATCTGATCTTTGACTGAGTGACCCATGATTGTTGCCTCATTTAATGACCGAGTGGTTGTTTGACTCATGTTCAAATGAGATTTCATTCAGACTTGCGCCCAAAAGAAAGCGGCTGCTTTCAGGAAAAATTACTAGTAACTTGTAATTAATGTAGTAATGTGTATTTACTGAAAGCAAGGGTAGACTTTATCTGTCTTGTAATTATGGTTTTGTTTGTCACGTACTTGTCTGTTCCTTTTCTCATGTTCAGAATCTATGCCAGCTCTGTTTGAGCAGCATCTCAGGAACAAATTAAATGGTATCAAAGTGTGTTTATTAATCATTCTTTGCTATCTAGGTACAGATGGCACAAATGTAGCAAGTGAACATCATCATACTGTAAATGTATATAGAAGACAACCTATTGTAATGGTACAGGAGACCACACCTGATGTGGGCTGTCTCACATGTTAAACAGACAAAGCTTCTGTTGAAAATCCCTGGAGGACACATGACTGTGACACAGTTTAGCAAACAGAATAAAGCCAAAACTGCAGCATCAGGAAGCTAAAGTTGTATCTCTCTTAGGAGGAGGACATATTCAGGTGACCCAGATCTGGTCTGAACATCTGGTGTGGTCTGTTCACACTGCTATGGACACACCAGGTCTGAGTCACTGCAGTGCGTGATGTGAGTATCTTAATTCTCAGTTGTCACTGATGCTTTTACATTATGTGTTTGTCTTTAAAGGCGTTGTATAAATAAAAAGTAACACTAAGTCTGAGTTATTTTCTTCTGGTCAGACGTCCTTCACAGATGGTTCTGTATTCAGTGGTAAATTTCAAATCTGGTCAAGAAGTTCGTGTTGCCCAGGAGTTGATTAATAATGATTTATTAATCATATCTGGTCTCTGGAGTGTGAAGAATTGTTGCTGATGAAGAAACGGCTACTTGTTGAGCACGCTGTGGTCCAGTCGTGCTCCAGATGTACAAATAACGCTGCAAGTGTTGTGCAAACACAAAAGCACACAATAGAGGCTGTTTGCTGATGATGCTGTTTTGCTGGCTTCATCAGATCACGACCTCCAGCACGCACTGAGGTGGTTTGCTGCCGAGTGTGAAGCAGCGGGGATGAGAGTTAGCACCTTAAAGCCTGAGGCCACGGTGCTCTGCCGGAAAACAGCGGACTGCTCCCTCTGAGTTGGGAGGGAGTTGCTGTCCCAAGTCAAGGAGTTTAAGTATCTCAGGGTCTTGTAAGAAATTATGACTGTTATTTTTTCAGTTTTAATGAATGGAAGATAGTTGTTTCAGCTCCACTTGGCTGGGTTTTTGTGTAACAGCTGTAGCTTTTCTCAAGTTAAATCAGAAGGTTTATATGTTGCAAACTGAAATATGGGTAGGTTTAGGTTTGTAAGAGAGTGATATTTAGACATATCCTGATTCTTAACCTGTTTTACTGTATTTTGTGCCAGTGACACTGTTTCTAATGAAACCCTGGTGTTGCTAGTGATGTAATCTACCAAAGGATTTTATTCTCACCTCTCTTTGTGGCGCTGTCCCTCGACATGATCGTCCTTAAGGAGCTTACTGAGATTTGCTCTTCTGTGTAAATGGCTCAGCGAAGTCCCTGTGAGCCGCTATCACCTCTTGGTTTTGAGTTTGGTGATGCTGCAGCCAAAGCCAACAAGAGGCGGGGTCTGTGACTTCAGTCGGCACCGTGAAGCGAGCCGGCTGCTCTGCCGGGGTGTTTTAATGAATAGTCATGGCCAGCTGTGACTAGGACTTGTCATTATTGCTTGTTTTCATGAGAAAAGGTCTAGTTTCAGATGTATAAACTTATTCCCATGGAACAAGTTGTTATAAAACATTAACGGAAGACTATCATCAGGAGCTAATGGGGATCCAATAAAATAAACAAGTTAACTACCAGACCAAATTATTCATAAACATAAAGATGGTGGGAGCAAACAACAAGTAATTTCAGCTTTTTAAAATCACTTCGGCTGTTTCCCATACAGCTAGCACCACTAACCTGAAGCCTGTCCCCTCCCGCTCACTTTCGCCGCAGGTTTCACTAGCGACTTGTGGGGACCCCTCTGATTGTTTACAGTCTGTAGGTTTTTAAAAAAAAAAACATGTTTCAGTTGCAGCGTAAATCGCACACTTTGCTGTTTGAAAATTGCATTCAGTTAAATTGCAGCATGACTTGAAAACATCTAATTGCTGAGCCCTACTACATATTAAACAGAACAGACAGGGCAGATGGTTTATTGAAAGCCCACCTGCCACAGGTAGATAAGACAAGTAATAGAAAATAATAATTAAGACAGAAAACAGATGAGCCTGTTATTCTGTCTCACTCCCACCCACGTGCTGACATCCTGCCCGTGTTTGATCTCGTCTGTAGTGGTTTCTGTTTTGCACATTTTTTTTTGAATGAAAATCAAAATAATTTCCAAATAAAATCCATTGTCTTCCTGTGTTCTTCTCTGCACACTTTGCTGTTCCACAGTGGCCTGTGCTTGTGTATGCAGAGCTGGTTGTAATGTAACAAACCTTGATTTGTTTCCACAGAGTCGAGCGGCCCCACCAAGGTGGTGAAAGCAGGGCACCCACCCAAAGCCAGACGTGGAGGAAAGGTAATAATGTGTGTCTGTGTGTGTACATTGTGTATTCAGCACTGCTCCATTTAAGATTGAGGAGGATTCAGAAGATCCAGCAGAAGCAGCATGGCTGCTTTTGGTTGTTAATAAAACCAGGGAAGAAAAAGCAGTTCCCTCGTTTGTGCATCAGGGACAATGGTGACTCTTCAGAGTAATGAGGTATTTTAAAAATAATCACTGTGAAGGAGGTCTACAGTGGGAAGTACACCATTATTCAACACTAAGCTAAGCTACGTGTCTTCAGGCTGCAGCATCATACTTGCTGATTTGATTGAAGTGTTCCTTTAAACCAGGGGTTTTCAAAGTGTGGGCATGTGAGCCTCCCCTAAGAGGAGCTCATGAAGACCGCTAAACCTAAACTACTTCAGATGTTCAGCTTCATGTTGCTGTACGGTATATCATTGTCTTTTTGTGGACATTCACTATGAGGAGCATACGTTTACCGTGGCTGATACGCTACAATAGTGTGATTAGTAGCTGACAAAGGAACCGTAAACTTGTGGCTAATTCAAACATAGCACCTTCAGCAGACTGCTCAGTGAGAGTGCCAGTGCTTATCTGTTATGCCTCAGGCTGTGTGTAGTAACCTCCCCTCGCTCTTCCTGGAAAACAAATGGGAGTTCCTGGTGAGCCAATGGCTCTGCAGATAAAGCTGGCAAGGCCCAATTAAAGCGCTTCATTTACAACTTCCTGCTTCGATGGCGGACACTGCTGTAGTACTCCACGGCTGTCAACCACACCTTGGCACTGCCTGTCCAGACGTGCACAGCTGGTTGTATACAGACTGTATGGAAAGGAAACTGAGCTGTGTTTTCTGAACAGTTTTTCCCTAGAATGTTGTGCAAATATTGGAATGAGTAGGATGTTTGTTTGGTTTTCACTACAAGGTGTAAATGGAGGACAATAGTGCAAAGCTAATGAAATAAACCCATGCAGCCATGTAGCACAGACTGACTTTGTTGAGAAGAATCTTCTTGTACAGGTCTGCTCTACAGGTTTTTATCTCTTGGGCATGTTCCTACTGTATTTATACATAAATTAAAGTGCTAAAAATATTCAGGTTTGACCCTGTAACACCTGTAGAGGGGTGACACATTAAAGGACAACCCAACATCAAGCGTCCCAGTGAGGACCTGGGCCACCAGGTTCCCACCAGAACAGCTCCACTTGGCACTGACTCTCCCAGTCTCTGACCTCTCCTGGTGGAATGAACACTGTTCTTCCAGCAGATCTTCCCTCGTGGTGTTTTGATGATGGTGGTGGAGATGCCGTCTAACACGTTCGCTCCAACATCTCCCACAGCTGTTCACCTGGTATATTGGCATATTATAGCTGTGTAAAAGAGGCTGACGATTTCACATCATTTTCATCCTCCTCAAACCCTTCAGTGAACCCCTCATGCCCTGTGGTATTGTCATCCCGGAAGAGACCACTCGTTGATTCTTTTTCATGTCATGCCCTGAAGGTGTGATAGTTCCCTCTCTGTGCTTTCCAGATATCTGACAATCCTGCTGATTCAGCTTTGTTTTCATTTGTTGCTCAGGTTGGAGATTTTGGTGACACCAACAGTTGGCCAACTCCTGGGGAGATCGCAACTAAAGACATGCAGGTAGGTCTTACTGTTTGTTAGACGCGTGTTGAGTCACAGGTTGGCAGATGTATAGAGCACACACTGCTGATCAGAGGGTGAAAATAGACTTAACACATCTCCACTCTTTGCTCTGCCTCAGAGTGAATGAAGAACATTTTCTGGCTTTACTGTGATCAGTTTTTTTTTTCCTCCAGAGCACCTTGATGCTGTCTATCTTGCACAGCAACCACTGGGCCTCTTCTTTATCTGCACATTATTAGTACTTGGAAAGTTATTATTTCATTGTGTCCCTTAAATGACTGGAAAACTAGCCTATGTCTGCAGGAGATGCCTGACAGCCTCATACTTTTGACTTTTCATTGTGTCCCTTAAATGACTGGAAATCTAGCCTGTGTCTGCAGGAGATGCCTGACATCCTCATACTTTTGACTACTTCAGTGTTTGTGTGACTGTTTGTATGACTTGGTGCTTGAAAAAACAAGAGCTCTTAATGACAGCGGACTAGAAGTAGTTTCTGTTTCTCAGATTATCTTCATTTTGTTGCAGATGGCAGAGGTGATTTAAAAAAAAAGAGCATCATAGTAGCTTCAAGTTGTTATAGTCACCAGCCAGTCAAAGCAGCTCAGCCTGTCTTACTTCACCATGTAGCTCTTCTACAATAGGTATTTTAGTGGTTGGTAATTACACGGCAGCTAAACAGCACATCCAGACAGCTGTCTGCTTCTGCAGGCCTGAATCTGTGTCCTTGGGACTGCATGTTTCTTTTTCTAAGTGCTAGGGTTAGTCCAGGCTCACAGCCATGGAGGGCTTCTTGGACACGTGGAGACAAAACAAAGATGGCTGGCCTCAAAGCGGGCATCAGGCAAAATGTTCCAATCACAGTCATGAAACCAAACATGCACCGTCAAAAGCCAGGATTTTATTCCACCAAATACTCGACCTTCCAATTGTCACAGCTTTTGTATCAGTGAAATCCACCTGGTGAGTGTTTGAAAATGGCCAGTCTCTTGGCTCCCTTTGTTTCTAGACCCTACTCGAAACCCAGGTCAGTTATTGAGGAACCTCACCATGCACTCTGTTACTGTGCACAAGCTCGAAGCGAACGTACCCAAAATAAAAACAACCAGAAAGTCAAAATGAATATGTGATCCTGAACCAAAGTTAGTGGCACAAACATGATAGAAAGTTTCTTTTCTCATCTATTTTTTAATTATATAAGGCCTGTAGTATTTGATATTTGCATGAACCACTTTGTAGGTAATGACGGCATTAAATATGAGTTTTATCCACTGCCTGCGAGGTGTTTCCCAGACGGACCTCCATTCTCCACCATATTTTGTTGCAATACTTGATATTTTTGCACAAATGAATATAACAGTAAATTATTCAAAAGTTTTTTTTCACAAACATAATGAACCAACCAACTATTTTATACTGTTTACTCTGTAGCCTTCAGCGAGTGACAGTAAATCACTGAAATCCCTTTATCAGGCCCCACACCAGGCTGTGTGGGACCGTTATGAACTCATAATCTCATTGGCTACTGGAACTGTCATCATTTCCTCAATGACCATCACTGCCCTGAGGGGCATTGAAAAGAAGTTTGATGGATAGTTAATCATATGGACATACTTACTGACAAATATGAGAGCTATCTGCAGGTACTGAACATGATATGGAGTGTGCCTGGTTAGCGTTAGCAGATGACCAGGAAATCAGGCTAAAGTGAGGAATAAAAACAAAGACCGTTGATCGAAATTACAAACAGGACTACTCCGGTTCTGGGGCTTTTTCTCCGTGACATTGTGTGTGTGTGTGTGTGTGTGTGTGTGTGTCGGAATAATGTTTGGATGCTGTTCATTGAATTCTTATGATTAAAAACAGTGTCCAGCTTTACTTTAATACACATCTGGGCCCCTGTCAGCAGAGAATCGTAGAGTGGCCATTCTGTTGTGTGGTTTACTGCTGAAAAATGAGAAATGGCTGCTGCAGTGATATAGGGACTCTTAAATGTGTTATGTAGCTGACAACGTGAGACTTTTACCTTTCAAATGATGTATAGCATGTTTACCTTTTTGTGTGACAGATTTTTTTTATTTTTTTCTCCATCTTCTTATCCAGCTCTTGACAAGAAAGCGACTTGGCAGATTTCTGTTCTTTATCTGTTTCGTTCCTGAACACTTAAACCTGTTGCTTAGAAGCTTTACACCACTAGGCGGGCACGTTGTAGCCGTAACCATAGATCCCAACCCCTTCATACTTGTGACTGCCTACAGCTATTGGTCCAGCGGGGGATGCACCTAGTTTATCCTCTTACAGCAGGGACAGTAGTCAGTCACTCCTCAGAGGCCGTTTCCATTTCTAATCTATGGACATCATGTCAGTGGGAGAGCAGCCCTCCTACCTCCGCTATTTTAGGCAGCCAGGTCTGAGCGAACATGAGAGAGAGAGAGAGAGAGAGAGCACGTGTCCCCGAGCAGGAAAATGTGGGTCACATCACCAGCGTCAGGAATAACCAGCAAGGTCAGTAGCAGAAATCGCAGGTGGGAGGGGCTGAGGTTGGAGACAAGTGCCGAGGCCTGGGAAGGGATGTCCTTTTAGGGATCCCCCTCGGTAAAACGCCCCTGGATCTGTGCTGGTGCTATTCTTAGGGGGCTGGAGGTCACCGTCCACCACGTAACATTTACAGCTGTAAAGCTGAAGTCCTCAGATTGTGCATGCTGGAAAATAGACACTGAAATTTGATGAAGGATGCAAGGTTGTGCTTTAGGGTATGGTGCAGTGGTTAAAATTAAACTTAATGCAGTAAAATGGCATCTTCTGCTTTTTGAAATGTTTAAAATTTTACATTTATCTGAGGAGATGGCCCTGCAACATGTACAGATTTTCATTTGTGGCTTTTCTCCTAAATCTAAAATGTTATTCATATGAGTGTCTTTACCAAAATTTTTCAGATTACAACTTTTTTTTTTCTCTTTAGTGGCATGTTGGAGTAGCAGGCGTTTCAATGCCACAATAAAAAAATTTGACAAAAGTTTGAGAATAAAGTCAGAATATTCTGCCATTGACTTCAGAATAGAATTGCATGAGAATATTCTGACTTTATTCTCTGAAGATTCCGACTTCAGTCTCAGAATTGTACTGACTTATTTTTGTTCTGTGTCACTAAAACACCATCATACAGCTGTGTCTTGAAAGCACCACAAACCAAATTTCTGTCACCTTCATTGTGTTGAGTTGGAAGCAGAAATGTAAAAGTTGCCCAGGATGTCAAAACACAGTGACGACAAAGTCCAGAAGTCTGAAGTCCACAATGTGTGTGCACCACATTTGTCTTGTCAGTCATCGCCCCATTTTGTTGTCTGTTTTGTGTCCAGAGTGAAAGATTGACAGTGTTCATTTTTCGTGTTGCTTGGTGGGTTCACTGTGCAGCTGCAGATCCATGTTCAGGACTCTATATCGCTGCGACAGTGACTGTATCAGAAGCTTCCTGTGGTGGAAGAAGGAATCGGTGTCCTTGTGATCACAGTATTACTGTCTGCATTTTCACAGGTGTTATCCCATGTCTTTATTGACTCAGAAAGCACACTGCACCGCTCACACCTGAGCTGTGAATGCAGTTCTCCACTCTATCACTTCACCCTTCTCTGTCCTCACTAAAAATAATCAGCTCTTATTCCTATTTGTGCTGAATCCAAAGCTATAAACCAAATGAAAAATCTGCCTGACTTGATGTAATGACACAGCATTAGCTGTTCAGCCACTGAGATGATATTGGATGTACTTTATAAAACCCAGAGGGAGCTCAGTAAACAGTAGACGCAGCAGATGCTTCTTCTTATCCACAGCCTGTGCACATTCACTTGGCATTTCTGTTGGTTTTGATTAGAACAGCAGGAAGGTTTTGAGTTTGAGCAGAGCAACTCAAAACAGAAGAGTCTTTAATGTACCTGATAAGATAAAATGACCAGATTATACTTGCAGACCTGGCAGGTGCTAAGACTTGGTGCATTAACTTTACAGCCTGACGAAGCCCCCAACATTTAGGTTTTAAGACTCCCAACTCATTTTTGGTGTAGCTGTCTACATTCAGTATGAATGTGTGTGTGTGTGTGTGTGTGTGTGTGTGTGTGTGTGTGTGTGTATGTATGTATATGTGTATCATGGTCCACCTCATTGTGTTCTCTAAACTGCTCTTCCCTCCCTCTGTTCAGATCGAGGCAGTGGCACGGACCGTGTCCTGCCCGCCGACTGTCAGGCAGGTCAGAGACTCATGGAGATTCACTGTAAGTTCCACCTGCAGCCTGTGAAACCTGCTGCCTGCCTACCTGCTGACATTCAGTCACTGTGTCTGATTAGGATTCCAGTAATATGTTGCATAAAAATAATTGTCTGCCCATGTTTTGACCACACCTGGTAATATGAGTTATTTTAATAAATCAAGCAAGCATATTTTTTAATGCGTCATCTGCCAACAGCTGCTTGCTAGTGTTAGCCTCCAAACCGAGAGCTGAGATCAGCGTGCAGAATCGTTTTTCAGTCTGTTGCTCTGGTTGACAGGATCTCTGGGCCTGCTTCAAGTTAGTTACAGACACCTAAGACTGTCAATTCTGAATTAGCATAGTCAGTAAAACAATTTCAGCAACTTTTTAGCCAAACAAAACAAGAATGTACGCAAGTAAATATAGCGCATACCTCCAAAAATGGCGCCCCTGTCCCAACGTTCAACACGGCGTGATGTACCTTCATGTTCTCTATACTAAACCTTTGTGTTTAATTTTATTCTTTGGGCTCTGTGTCCTTTATAAAGAGTAGGCAGCATTGTGGCTCTGATGGCATCATTACAAAGCACAAATGGGCTGTGAGTGAAAGAGCCACGGTGCAGAAGTTATGAGGGAAACACCGTAATTTTGCTGCCAGTCTAATCACTATCATATAAATGTTAGATTTGTTAATGTTGTATGTGCAGCTTTTTTCAAGACTTCAGTTGTAACAGACTTGCTCATGCCTCTTTTGTTGCTTGGTGAGACTCACTGTTAATGTCCAGAACTACGGAGCATGTTTGAAGTTGGTCTTGGGCCTCAATGCGATAACTTTGCAGTTTGATACCTTGAGGGCCGAGCATGTCAAGGTGTGTGAGTGTGTGTGTACGTGCACATAATGGTCTGGGGCATGAAATGCTGCATACATCCAGTTAGACCGACGCTTTGCATGACCCCTCAGGAGCGTCACACTTTGCAGATATGTGTGTCGCTGATAGCTGATAGCTGAGCTGCCGTGGCACAGAGGAGCGGCTGAGCTCTGTTTGCTTTGAATACACTCGCATATCAGCTCTGTGAGCAGAGATAACCAGCAGAGGCGACTGGATGTTCAGTGGACTACCCTGTGTCCGTTACTGTGTCAGCTCATGCTCAGCTGAGGACAGCCGTAGCACTGGTGTCTCTGCTGCAGGACCCCCCACAATGAGGCAGAACAACAGATAGGATAATGAAAACTCTCAACCACATACAAAGTCTGTTTTGTCTCCATCACTTTTATTGTTGCCCTTAGGAGGTAGTGTTTGCATTGTCGACCTGAAGAGATAAAATGCTACACCCAAACAGATTGATTCATTATAAAGCCTATGGTTCTGAATGAACTTATTAATATACTGACACCAGTTTAGTCCACAAACTAGACTGCTGGGTGCAGTACAATAAAACCTTTTCATATTCATAATTACCTGTTTTTATACTTATTGTTCAACACTTTTCATTACAATATTACACATTCACAGAGGTTTGTAGAAATACCACCTTTCCAGTTTTAAACATGCTGTGATTATGGTAACACGATTATGATATACTGAGTGATATAAGAGCGAGGCTTGTAGTTCGCTGCAAAAAGTCAGCAATGCTGTGGGCTTTATAACAGCTTAAAGTAACTCTTCATACGCTTCAGATACCAAATATCTCTCACCACAGCCCCATGCCCCCACTGGCTTGCTGAGGAATCCAAAGCGTGGCATAATTAACATAGCATACTGTATGTAGCTGCTAGTTACAGCTGATTCGTGGGAGGGGTTTAGTGCACAGTCACTTGCTTGACTGTTTAAAGACAAATGTATGCATTTTGTTTTGATGTCAGATTTATTTGCTACTTACGAAAATAACAATGAGTAAATTTGTATCTGTGCCACCAATTCTAGCCAGTTTTATTTCCCGTAAAAATTTGTAAATATATTTGTGAGGTATAAATGAATTTTTAAATTTGATGTAAGGTGTCCTTTTCTAAATGTGTTATATGGACCTGTGTCCTCTCCAGGCTCCCAAGAAGACGACAGTCAAGAAGGAGTTAAAGGAGAAGAGAGAGAGCAACGAGGAGAGCAAGGAGAACCTGAAGGCCAAGTCGGATGACTCCGGAGAGGAGAAGAACGGCAACGACGACTCCCAGAAGAATGGATCCAAGAAAAAAGGTGACTTTGATCAGACATGTTAGCGTGCTGGAAAAGCAAACAGGAACAGTATATAATAAACATTAGCACCTGATAAAGTTAGCATCCAGAAAGGCGCTCATGTTAAACCTCAGCCTGCCAACATATAGCCAATGTGCCAGATGCAGGCATCCTACCTGAGGGTGGCCTTCACTTGACAGGACATGGAATGGCCACCACACACAGGACCTGTGTTTGCAGTAACGTGCGTGGCCTTTCCACTGGCACGTTCCTCAGGCCACTGGTCAGGATCTTTAAATAGCAGACTTTATACATTTCATCCATAAAGTTTTTCCTGTGATTAATACAGCCTAAACCGCACAGTATTTACTTAGTGTTGGTCAGATTTGGGGTCTGTATTTGTTCATTTAATACTTCTGAATACAATTTTGCCTCTGGAAGGATTTTACAGTACTTGCTAAAGTGGCTATTTGAATTTGTCACAAACAATGAAGCCACCGAGTTAGGTCTAACCTGCTGGCATGCTGTAGAGGGGATGAGTACTTCATGTCTCTTCTCTGACTAAACATCTGTGAAGAGAACTGTCACACTCTGATCTCAGCATTGAAGGAGAAACAAAAATCATTCGAGCCATGATGGAAGGTGCAGATTAAGCTAGATGGGATTGGGATGTTTGGCTGGATTGTTGTTGGATGGACTTCTGAAAGGTCTGAAATTTCAGTCTGATGTCAGATCTCTTATTATAAACTGTAGTGAACTTGATAATGTTGGAGGAGTATTTTAAATGTTGCTGGTGTTGTCTTGACTCAGTGTCCTCTGCAGCTCCATATTCTTCTTCTTCCTTTCTTCCTTGCTTTCCCTTCCCCCTCTTATCCACTCAATCGGCAGATCAATGCAAGGCCACGTCACCTCAAAGTGGCTGTCACTTCCTCTCTGGCATTGCAATTGGTATCTGGCACACTGACCCCAACATCCCCACGGCCAGATTATAGACAGCGGGTCACTGGTCCCCCTGCTGGCCAGGAGATGTACTGCAGCTGACAGTGCATTTTCATTTGTAAAAGACTCAGCAGTAATGAACATAGTTTTTCACATTTTCCACATCACCAGCAACCAAGTGCTGGTAACAGCAGCTTAACCATCCAGTATTCAGAGGTGCTGTTTGTCCCAGAATGACAGTGAAAAAAAGACTTTGGAGGGTAACAGTCCAGTTTCATCCAGAATTTCTTACCCTTTTCTTTCTATAGCAAATAGGTGTAAATCTTTTTACATAGATTATCTGTAGCCAGCATTTGGTTCTTTACTTTGTTTACAACTATAACAACTTTAATTTGTGGCTTTTTATAAATGTGACATGGTTGCCTTGAAAAATACTAAGGTCATTTTAGAAGGAAAATAAACTCAATTTTTGCTTCAAATATTTTCAAACCAAAAGATGGTTATGAGGGGCCATTAAAAAATCTTTTCATGAAGAAGTCAGTTTACTGAAATGATTTTAAAACCGATTTCTCTCCATGTTGTTACGAACAGGAAACAAGCAGAAGTGGGTTCCTTTGATGATCGAGGTGAAGTCTGAGGGTCCCAGGGAGCGCTCAGCCTCTAGGAACAACAGCAAGCAGAACGAAAACCCCCGTCTGCCTCCCAACGCCAGGAACGACCTCAGAGGTCAGTCTGTGATGTCATCGCTTGGCACTGACGTCATGGGTTACTTCCAGAGTTTTGAGAAAAGCATGTGAAGAAGTCCTCCCAGCTGGTTTTACATGAAGCCAGAAGCTGCTAGCTAATGACAACAGATTGTGAATCTGCATGCTACTGCAGCTGGCTGACTAGGACAGTGTGCACATGTCAGCAGGAGGATGTGCAAGTTCTCACTCAGCTGCTACTTCTGCTTTGATAGCTGCTCAAATGTACATATATGGATAACTGGGTTTCTTACATTCATCAAGGAAATGAAGTGTGTTGGTGTCAAGGAAGACATTTGGTGGTTGTGCATTAAATTACATTGATACATTAAGTTAACATAATTATCTTCTGAGTCAAAACTGTAAGAATATTGCAGCTCTTAGCATGACCTACTGACAACTCACTGCTTTTGTTCGACGGGTGTAGCGTGGTGGTGCGCTTGTGCTGGCATGAAGGCTGCTGTTGGTTTCTCTGCAGACTGGCACAGTCAAAAGTACGAGCGAGAATGGCGTGATGACCACGATGAGGTGTCCAGCGTGAAGAGCGAGGGGGCACCATTCCGCGGAGGCTTCAGAGGTCGCGGACGAGGAAGAGGAAGAGGTCGGGGACGAGGCAGAGGTGGTGGGAGAGGTGTGTTTCTTTTCTGTGTTTTCCCACCCACACGGAGACAGAACCCTTAAAATAGAGTTGCCACCAGTTTCCTGTTTAAAAAGGGAACCTTTTTTTTTTTGAGGTTTTCTCATGTGGCCGTCGTGCCCTCTTTTTGCTTTCTGAAACGGTGCTGAGAAAACAAAACCGGTGAGGGTTCATCACTGTGCTGCTTGTGTGTCTGTCACCACAGACTGGTTCAGTTACTTAGCAGTAAAATAAATGTGCAGTGAAGTTTGTCTTCGTGATGTTTGCACTCAGATTCACAGCTAATTAATTTTAAATGTATACAGTTTTGAAGTTTGTCCATCACACTACACACACTGACACTTTTTTTGTAATTTATTAAAAATAAAAAATGAAAAATGCCTCATTTTCAAAAGTATTCAAACCCTTTGCTGTGACACTCCAGATTGTGATCAGGTGAATCTTGTTTGGGATGCAACTACAGCTGGAGTAGGGTTGTAGTGGTAAAACATGGTATGGCAATTGATGGTTATCATACCGTGCACATTTGCTTATTACCGGTATTGACAGATTAAATGCAATGTGTGCACGCCTTTCTTCTCTGACTGCCTGTCAGACTCCACAGCAGGCGCCACACGCACTCATGCAGTGGAGAAATGGCAGGGAGGAGGAGGCTGGCATCACCAGACTCCATCCACTAAAAAAGAAATTTAAATCAGCAATGTGGGATTATTTGGATGGCTCACAAATGAACAACTTTGAAAACACCATCCCTCCGTGCAGATCAAAGTGTGTCTTGTTTAGATCCTAAACAATAAACGTATGCAATAAACCCACTCGAGAAGTTGTAACTGCTGCTGAAGAGGCTTATAAAAAGTTAAGGGTCTGGATCCTTCTGTAAATGAGAGACGTGGGTTTTATTAGTGGGATCTAACCTGCAGACATGCTGTAGAGGTGATGAGCTCTTCATGTCTCTTCTCTGACTCAACCTCTGTGGAGAGACCTGTCACAACTCTGATCTCAGCATTGAAGCAAAAAACACTTGAGCCTTTATCCTGGGTGAAAACTGGGCCACATAAAGGACATAAGCACTTTAAATGATATAAATATTTCCTCAATAAGCGTACTTTCCTCAATAGTAAGTGGTTTGGTCGAGTAGCTGAACACGCCGCATGACACTGTTTTGGTGTCAGAGGTCGGCTAGCTACAGAGGCTTAACTTTGCCCAACAGAATTAATCATGTTTGACCTGACGGTGTCGAGTTAATCTGTCAGAACTGTGCGCATTTGTGTTTTGGCTGATTTCGCACTTGGTGCTGGGTGAATCTGATGCTGCGGTAAGAAATGAAATATGCTCCAACAGCCAGAGTGCTGAAATGATGAAAGCCTTGGATCCAGGAGGAGAAGCAGGTTTGTCTGAAGTCCTGCTGGTTTTGGCCGGATTCTGACCAGCTCCTCCCTGTTGTTCATACAGTCTTCCTCTACTCTCTCGCCTCCACTCACTCTTCTTCCCCCTCTTCACTGGTACCTTGTAATTGTTATAGAAGTGAGAAAAAGCAGAAAGAGATAAGTCCAGGTTTACGTCCATCCTGTTTCCTTGAGGACATGTTGACTTTGAGCAGCACTGAAGAGATGATTCATGCCGAGCAGATGAACTTTCTTTGTGTGTGTGCGTGCTCCTACACTCACAGAAACGCGTTCTGCATATTTGAGGTTACTCAATGATAGGGTTTTCTACTTAATTTTTCTGTGTTTATATTCTGACTGATCCTCCTATGTGCGGTCTGTCCCATATCACACAAATTTCTCTCAAATTTGATGTCAGTCCCAGTTTTGCAACAGATTAGTCCTGGGCTGAAGAACGGGTGGTGTGAGTCAGCTGAAGGCAGCAGCTCCTGGTGACAGGCAAAGATTCACTAGTGAACAAATGGGCATTATACAGACACTAATTGGTTGAGGATCAGAAAATAGAAAACATGTAACATTTTATGGAGTCAGGAGGTACAGTCAGCTGTTCTGACGTCTTCTCTGACGTGTGGCATCTTTCACGTGACCTGACAACATATATTGGAAGCTAACTGAGGTTTGAAGTGAAGAATCTCTGTCCATCTAACTGACTGTTTCTCCCCCGTCAAGGCCACTATGAATATCACTACGGCTACAAGTCTTACGATATGAAAGATGGACCCTATGGCCAGAAGTTCAGCAATGCAGTGACCTATTACTACGACAACATGAGCAGCAACGACCTTTACTCCGTCGACCAGGACCTGCTGAAGGACTACATCAAGAGGCAAATGTAAGTTCAGCGTCAGGACCCACACTAAGACATTGGACGTCGTAACAAACAGGATACGATAAATGTCTGACATGCGGTCTCTGACTTTTTATCCGTCCTTGGAGTCATTGAAACAGGTTTTCCTCATGTGTCTGCCTCATGTAACTGTCTCTCTCACTTGCATCTTTTCCTCACACCTGAGTCCTCCCATGTTAGATGTGAGGAAACAGCCACAGAAACCACAGTCTGTATTTACTGTACCATGTTGTCACATGTTCCCTTGCTTCTCTGCTCCCCACAGTGAGTACTACTTCAGCCTAGACAACCTGGAACGTGACTTTTTCCTGCGGAGGAAGATGGATCAGGAGGGCTTCCTGCCCATCGGACTCATCGCCAGTTTCCACAGAGTGCAGGCCCTCACCACAGACATCAGCCTCATTCTGGAGGTGAGCAGAGTTCCCCTCAAAGAAGGTGATAATGTGGTTTTACAATGTCAGACAACAGTTTCTACTTGATGAGATACATCATGTAAACATGGCTCACAATTAAGGTGCTTATAGCAATGGGGAAAAACATGATGCCAGCTACATTTCCAGTTTACCCGATAAAAATGAACAAAAGTAATCATTAATTTTAATAATTAAGGCTTTTTTCCCAGCCAGAATACCAGATTTCTGCAGGCCTTTTCCTTGACAATATTGAAAAGCTGTTGTCGGTTCAGAACCTGTAAAATAAATAAAATAATAATAATAATTTTGGATTTGCATGCCTTACGTTCTTTGTTAGGGCATTGTACATGCACACTGAGAGCCACTGTACCAGAGTCAAATTCCTCGTGTGCCCAACCCAGCTGGCCAGTAAAGCTGATTCTGATTCTTAGACTGAAAATAATCTGCAGATGGGTTATAAACAGACCAGAGCCAAACAGCAGCAATAGATCTTTTTTTTTTTCTTTGACCAATTAGACCAAACAACAGGTATGAAAATGACCCAAATTTATTTACAATTTCAGCCCAAAACAGTGAAGTTTGCTTTTGTAATCATTTGATGGTGTGTGTACTAACGCTGATGGGTTTGATATGCATCTAAATTTTAAAAATTGCAGGTGTTTTCCACACTTAGTTTATCTAAAAGCAAATCTTTCAAACTTTGAAGCTCCTAATAAAACGCTGCCTTTTCAAGTAGAGGTCACCTGAAACTCTCGTGCTCTGGGACCACACTGTGAGCACTAGCTGTCTCACTTCATGTCATTTATGATCATTGGGATCCTTCATGTTGAATTTTTGCTACTGGCCCGGTTTGAGCCGTCCTCTCTGCTGTCAGGCTTTGAAGGACAGTAAGGAGGTGGAGCTGATAGACATGAAGATCCGTCGGAAGGTGGACCCAGAGAAGTGGCCGCTGCCGGGCCTGACCATGCCCAACCACACCCACACCGACTTCTCCCAGCTCATCAATTGCCCTGAGTTTGTCCCCCGACAGACGAGCGAGGAGCCCAGAGGTGAGCGCTCAGATCTGCTGATAATGAAACTGAACCGTGGCTCAAACTGTGTAAAGGAATCACATGCACTTCTTCTTGACTGCATCAGGGTGCCTCCTTTTAAAATTTCTGACATTTGTTTGGTAAAACAGATGAAAGGGTGAGGTGTCAGGCCCATCTTGCATCGAAGTTTTGTTGTTTCAAATCTCTTACAAGACTTCTCATTTGCATGACAAATCTTAGCTACATGTCATCATAAAATATTTTCTCTGTGGCCGCTGCAGGGTCTCCCAGGTCCTCCACACCAGTGCAGCAACAGACCAAAATGGAGCCAGACACCTCCAACCTCAAGACAATGCCCAAGGGCCTCTCTGCCAGCCTCCCCGACCTGGACTCCGAGTCCTGGATTGAAGTCAAGAAGAGGCCCAGGCCGTCCCCGGCCAGACCCAAGGTCAGCACAGAGAAAGGTGGAGGTCAGGGCAAAAGTAGCAAGGTGTTGGAGAGGCACAGGAAACTCTAGGAACATCTGAACCTATGTTGTGTAGCTCGGAAATCTTGAATGTGAACATCCATGACACACAAACCTCTGTTATTTAAATTTTCACTCAGTCATATAATCCTCTATAGCAAGTTTTCCATTCAGCAGTTTTGTGGACCATGATGCCTTGTGGCCACTTCCCCGCAGAAAAACAGTGCACACTGAACAAGCAATCTCCCACTATAACAGGGTTAGGGTTAGACATCAGGCATTGTTTATGTAGAACCAGCCGTCCATTGTCACAGCCACAGGCAAAAAAAAAACCCACATCTGTCCTTTTCTTGAACTGTGTCATGTGTTTTTTTCTGTTTTGTTTTTGTTTTTTGCACACATCATCCTGTGTAACTTTTCACATCCATTCATTTCTTTCCACGTCCTCCACCACCACCTCTCTCCATCTCCTGTGTACTTGGTGTGGGTTGACTGACGTAGCCACCCTCATTGCAGCAGAAGGAGAAGGACGACTCTGTTCGCTCTCCTGTGCCCCAGCCCGGCTCCTCGCCCTCCCCCGCTACCTCAGGAAATAAGGTGCGTTTGGACTGAGATCAAACTTTTAGTCTGTAGCTATTTACCACATCTAATGATTTTTATTTCTCTTTAATTAAGATGCCTTAAGGTTGCTCATTTAATGATATTTAATATTAAGAGATATAATGAAAAGTAAATCCTGACAGAGAAGCTGTAACCAAAGAATAGTTGATAGTTTAACTTGACAACTTTAAATGGACTGTTTTTCATATTTGTTGTCCTTTTGAATTTTCTATACATAAATCAACTATCCATCCATTTTCCTCCGCTTGTCCGGGACCGGGCTGCGGGGGCAGCAGTCTAAGCAAAGATGCCCAGACTTCCCTCTCTCCAGAC